ATACATATAGTTCCTGGTGAAGGGGTCCGCCAAATGAAAGTGAAGTGGTTCCTAAAAGTTCGTGTGATGTTTTCACTAGTGTGTTCTGAATTGTTGTTTTCTTAACCCTAGAATGGGGCCTAATTATATATTACTTTATATTTACATTGAGGGGGGCCTAGAGGCCGCCATGTTTTTTACAGTTGTTCAAACTCTACAAACTAAACACCTTTTGAGTTTTTATGACAACTGAAGGTTACCACCAGTTCTCTTCCATGTTTTGGGGGGGGGCACATTCAGCTGCAACATGCAATTTCACCACTAGATTTCACTAAATTCTACACAATTTAATTTAATTGGTTGTTGCAGATTTTCCACGGGACATAGCTCTCTGTGGCCTAGACACTCCCACTTTTATATAAAGCGAATAGGTTTTGCTTTATGTTTTTTAAAAATAATGTGATTGGTTGACCCTTTCACAAGAAAAAAAAAAGGATAAAAGAGCTTGGTCTGGACCAACACTGAAAACATCCCTGGATCTTCACCAAAATTCACTGGGTTATTCCCTGACCCATATCACATTCTTTCACAATGTTTCATTGGACAGGGCTGGTAAAAAATATGATTTAAAAGTGACGCAATCAGTATGACACACAACCCCTATGAAGTGCATTGTCCTTTACAGGTCCTCCCGGTCCACCAGGGACCAAAGGAGACAAGGGAGAGGAAGGAAACCCACCAGAGTGTAAGTAATAATAATAACTGTATTTGTATAGCACTTATTTAAACAAAGTTACAAAGTGTTTCACAGGATATGAAAAGAAAGGTATTCAATTCAGTTAGAATTTTTGGGCCACGGAGCAGTTTGACCATTACATTTGAGCTCTGTAAGTCGGATTGTTGTAATTAAAATACTAACTTCAATTGTACCTTGGTGTAAGCAAGTATTTCATCCTATTAATTACAATAATGTTAAGTGAGGCTAAAAGTAAATCTGACTAGCTACTGGCTTGTATGGCAGTGCTATGAAAGGCATGTGGCCAGCTCAGTAGATCAGATGTCATAACATCTGTGCCTTTTTTATTCAATTTATTTGTTTTTAAACTAAATTAAACTAAATACCTACTCTCATAGGTGGTGTTGTGGTGAAAACTAAGTTCCACTTGTGGTCAAAAAGTCCA